CTCTCTGTGCGGCGCGAATGCCGAGAAGCACAGGCGTGGCCTCTCGGCGGAGCGTCTCCCTAGCGAGCGTCGGGCTGGCACGTTGGCGCAGGACTCCAGGTACTCTATATATATATGTATATATATTTATATATATATATATATATATATATATCGCCTTCAGAATATGCTGAAGGGCAAGCACTCCAAGTCTGTCTGGCCTGGCCTGTTTCAGTTTTGTTGCGTGCAGGGAGATTCTGCGAGACGGCTGGACATGTGGTTGCTTCCCTGGTGCCATCGATTCGGACGACGACCCCGCCCCGCATCGCAAGGCTGTGGGTCGAGTAGCGTATCCGTCGTTGGCCCATTGATGTTTCAAATCTTTGGCTAGTGCGCTTGCGGCTGGTCTTCGTCAGGTCAAAATCCCTCTTCTTCCGAATGTTCCCCATATTCTTCTCATCCATCTTCCTCCTCTTACCCTCTTCTTCCAGCAGGGGGCGGGCTGGAGGCCCGAACGGTGCGGCGTTCATGTCGGCCCCACAGTTCGGTGAAGATTCAGCTGGTGAAGCTTTTGGCGGACTGCAGGAGGGTTCGCGGCTGGGGCGCGGGTCGCCTTAGCTTCATCTTCGGACGACATCCCGCCTGCGTTGTCGGCATAATCTGTCGGATCGGTTTTCCTCGTCAACATTGGGAGTTGCAGCGGCTTCAGCACCCAGTTCAGTGGCTCCCTCAGTCGGCCCTTCAGTGAAGCCCACGCCGTGGGCTGCTTGGACGATTGCCCCCGCTGTAGAAGCTGAGTGCCGGAGCCCAGCCTTCTTGACAGCAGCATCAGCTGGAACGGTGCTCCCTCGGCAGAGTCGGGTGCTGGGGCGCACGCCATGGGCTGCGTGGGCCACTGTCCCTCGTAAACATCGGGGCGCTGGAGCCCGCCCTTCTCGACGGCAGGATCTGCTGACGCCTCTTCCCCTCGTGGGAGCTGGGTGCTGGAGCCACACAACGCCGGGGCTCCAGACGTACAAATGAGGTCGTGGCGGGCGGGCGGGGCCCAGGGGTGGGGGTCCAAGCGTTGTGGTCACGCCTCGCCCTCACACGGGGGCAGTCCGCGTGCGCGTGCGCGCGTGCGTGAACGTGCGCGCGTCCGCCAGCGCGCACGTCTGCGCGTTTGCGAGCGTTCGTGCGCGTGCGCGGTCGCGCGCGTTCGTGCGCGCGCAAGCTCGGGCGCGAGCCCGAGCCCGAGCGCGAGCCCGATGCCGAGCCCGAGCCTGATCGCCAGCCTGAGACCGAGCCCGGGCCCGAGACCCATCCTGAGCGCGTGCGCGCGTGCGTGCGCTTGCGCGCGTGCTTGTGTGTGCGTAGACCAACAACATCCTGATTGTAGAGCTAGGACGATTACATGCGCTTGAAGCGGATATTGGCCCCCGTAGGCATCTGATCTGATCCCACTCCTCCTCCTCCTCCTACTCCTTCTCCTCCTCCTCCTCCTCCTTCTCCTTCTCCTCCTCATCATCCTCATCCGTAGCCATTTTGGCTCATGCCTGTCCCCCGCTTTCCGCAGCCCTTTCGCCGATGTTCCGTGCCTCGGCGGCGGCGGCTCCGGAAGCTGGCACGACATGAGGATGGCTACGGGAGAGGCGGTCCTGCGCGGCGCGGCGGGCGCCCGTGTGGCGGCAGACCGCCTCGTGTCTCGGCTCAGCCGCGAGCTGGCCGAGGCAAAGCAGCGGTGCGCGGCCCTGGAAGCGGAGCTGGCGGCGCGTGCGGGCTCCGGATCCACGGTGGCCGCCGAGGTGGAGCGCCGTGAGGCGATTGCTCGACCGGCGTTGGTCGCACGACTTCAGGGCTGCGGCGTACCCCATGGAGCTCGCCTGCGCAGGAACGTGGCGCTACATTCGCTGGAGTGCCCGCCCGCCTCGGCGCCGCTGGCGAGCTGGCGGCGGGCGCAGCGCGGGCAGCGGCTCGGCTCGACGGACGTCGTCACTCAGCCGTCCCTTCGAGCTGACGCCTCGCCTTTCTGCCCTGGTTTGGGCCGCTGGGAGGTCCTCCCCCCGCCGACGGCGCTGGGCTGGCTCTGCACATGCGGCGCGACCCTCTTCGGCGACTCCGCCGCGGGCTCCCCTTCTTACCACGAAGACGGTCAAGATGATGGATTCGCCGAGCTGGCTGAGCGCGGTGACGTGCATCCTCACCGCCGTCTGGTTGACATTCCCCTCGACGTTCGTGCATCTTGCGTCCCTGATCCTGGTGTACGCCCTGGTCTTGTACGTGGTGCTGAGTGGTGGCAGGCCCGTCAAGCCATTGCCAACACATGGCTTGTCCAAGATGCAGGCGATGATCGAGGAGCAGCTGCGCCTCGTCGTGATTCCGAGCCCGCCGTGGAGATCGTCGGCGAGCTGAGGGGTGATCAGGCTGCAGCTGTTGCAGGATGGGAGTTCAGCACTGCAAGGGCGCGGCTCCTCCGCGACGCCGACGCCCTGAGATGTCCCACACCACGTTCTGCAGTCGCCACGGGGCCGCTCATCGACTGGAGCGCCATCGCGGCCCCCTCCGAGGCGGCCGTGGCCGCGCAGACAGCACCAGCGGAGGCGTCGGCCGATTGCAACCAGAGTTGGATAGTGATCTGCGCTACGTGAATGCGTCAGACGCCGCGGTGTGCTGGGAGATTTTTCGCCTTCGCCGACGCGTCCTCGTTGGCCTTCGCGGAGGCGGTCCTCTTCGAGCGCAGCGCGGTCGGGGGGTCCTGGGGTCCTCAGGTGGACTCCAGGCCCCCCGCGGTCCCAGAATATCACATCGTGATGGCGTCCACTCCACTCCACTCCACTCCTCATCATCCTCATCATCATCAGCAGCATCAGCATCATCATAAGTTTCTTGCTCCTCCTCCTCCTCCTCCTCCTCCATTCTCCCTCCTTCTCCCACTCACCGCCGCGTTGGCGGCTACAGCCGCATCTTGACGAATTCATTCGGCTACCCTGGCTTCTCCTCCTCCCCTCCCACTCATCCGCACCTCCCCTTCCTCCCCTTCCTCTCTCCCGTCCCCTTTCTTACGGAGAGCGCATCGGTTTTTGTTGTTCAGTGTTTGCGAGGGCCCGCTAGCGTTGGAAGATACCCCCCAAAGAAAAGTGGAGCACAGAGAGTTACGCTTCGGGCCGCCATCGTAAGAGCGGCAAGAAGCATCCTATCCCAGCCCCGAAACGATTGTTTCTAGGCCTCCTAGATGGGGTCGGAGCAGACGGGATCGGAGGATCGCGCCGCATCGCCGATGCGTCGGCGATGCGGCTCGATGCGGAGCCCGATTTGCTTCACGTCGACGTCGCCGATCCATCGCCGACGTCGACGATGCATTTCAGGTGTATCGGCGATGCGGCGCGATTCTCCGACCCCATCCACTCGGACCCCATCTAGGAGACCTCTATTGCTGGTCACATACTCTGTGGTTCTGTGGGTTGGGTTCCTCACTTCATGTCGCAATGCTCTTCTAGCCCGCTTGCGTTTTACACGCTCGCCGCCATGTCGGCCCCAGCGGGCCTTCGTGGCGGGAAGGCTCGTCGCACGTGCCGCGATGGTTGTCCTTCTCCTCCTTCTCCTCCTCCTTCTCCTCCTCCGTCTCCTCCTCCGTCTCCTCCGTCTCCTCCTCCTCCTCCTCCTCCTCCTCCTCCTCCTCCTCCTCCTCCTCCTCCTCCTCCTCCTCCTCCTACAGTCAACCCGCATAGTAAAGATGGGCAACCTTCCCAAGGGTACCCTTGCATCCTTGCCTCCTCGGCCCATCCTTCGCCACTTTCGTCGGCCGCGCCCCGCTCGAAAAGCTCCGAAATGGGCGTCCAAGGGCCCTGCATCCTTATCGCGCATCCTTACTGTACGGGTTGACTGTAAGCTGCCAGAAATCCGCCAGGATCTCGGATCGGCGTGTCGCGTCTTCCTTCCACGCTTGCCCGATGCCGGCCGCTCGCCCGTCCTGGAGCCAGGATCGGTGTATACTCCGGAGGGGAAAAGACACAGACGCAAGTCGTCGTCGATCCCCAGGAGAATATTCGGAGGTTGATAGACCTTCTACCCTGACACGTCGATTAAGGAATTGGCAGTTTTCGGTTCGCGAGAGGGCGTCGCGGCCGTCATTTTTGCGGGTCCAGGTCCGTCGATTTCGGCCCCAGGCCGCTTTTATTAAGGGGAGGTCTACTAAAGGGAGGTTTGTCCACCGCCGAGATATGGCTCGTTTCAGGGCATCCCCGGGGCCAGGGCAAGGCTCGTTTCGACCTCGACCTCTCCTCCTCCTCTTCCTCCTCCTCCTCCTCCTCCTCCTACTCCTCCTGCTCCTTCTCCTGCTCCTCCTCCTCCTCCTCCTCCTCCTGCTCCTCCCCTCCTCCTCCTCCTCCTCCTCCTCCGCCTCCTCCTCCTCCTCCTCCGCTCCTCCTGCTCCTCCTCCTCCTCCTCCTCCTCCTCCTCCTCCTCCTCCTCCTCCTCCTCCTCCTCCTCCTCCTCCTCCTCCCTCTCCCTTTCCCTCTCCCTTTCCCTCTCTCCCTCTCTCCCTCGCTCCCTCGCTCCCTTGGGTTCGATCCGATTTCGATTCGAGTCGACTTCGGATTCAGATTCGGGCTCCGATTTCTCGAGGGAGGCCTGCTGGCCTGCCGAGTTCCGTCGATTCGGCTTTTCCCGGCTCGGCTGCCGATTTCCGCCGATGCGACTCATCGATTCGATTCTGGGCTCTCCTGCTAGGGCCGGACGAAAGGGGGGATAGGAAAAGGGGGGGTTACGACATCTGCTGCATGCAGCTGGTTTCAGCCCCACCGAGGGGCCCATTCCTCGATACATGGGCGCCTCCGGCGCCGGGAGGCGCCCGGAAAATCAGCTACGTGAGCTGATTCTAAAACCCCCCATTTGCTACCCCCCCCTTTTCGCCCGGCCCGATAGGGAGCCGACAGACACGCCCGAGAGCCTCGAACCTCGAAACGGATAGGCGGTCGCGCGCGGGCCGCGCGCCCGCCCCAGCTCGAGCCGCCCCGCCGCTGGGCCATGCGCCGCGCGCGGCGATGGCGGCGGCGACCTCCAGCGGCGCGGGCGCGCCAGCGTTGCCGCGGGTCGGCAGCAGGGTCGACGGGAGGGTGCGCGACGTCACCAGCAGTGGCGAAGGGGGGGTACAGTCAACCCGCATAGCAAGGATGGGCAACCTTCCCAAGGGTACCCTTGCATCCTTGCCTCCTCGGTCCATCCTTGGCCACTCTCGTTGGCCGCGCCCCGCTCGAAAAGCTTGGAAGGGGGCGTCCCAGGCCCCTTGCATCCTTATCATCGCGCATCCTTGCTGTGTGGGTTGACTGTAGGGGTTGGAAGAAAAGCAAACTGCATAAGCATTGCGTAGTTTTTGCAGTTCCGCGCGGATTTCTCGGATCTGCGCTCGGAGCCCCTTGGCGGCGCCTGAGGCGCGGCCCCCCAGCGCGCTCCGCGCGCCAGGCGGGGTTCAGCGCCGATTCAAGCAATCCGCGCGAGATGCGAGAGCTTATGCTTACGCAGGTTTTCTCCCAGGGGTGGACGTAACTCCAGGCCTCTCAAGTGGAGTCCGAGTACATGGGGTCGGAGGTTCGCCCCGCATCGCCGACTGCATCGCCGATGCGGCTCGATGTGGAGCCCTGTTCATCCGTAAGGGCTTCGCCCCCTGCCGCCGGCCCCCGCTCTCGGATAATGGATCATGCAAGAGCTACGTCGTGAGGTCTGGGCGCCGTCTTGCAGCAGTGTCAGAACCTCGTGCGAGGACGATAAGCAACCGGAGGGAAAAATTTAGATTCAGATGAGGTTGTCGAACTCGGTGTTGCGTTGTGGACTTCCACGCATGCCGGTGCACTGGATGCCGTCCTGGGAAGACGGGGGGCTGCTGCTTGAGGCTGGAGTGGGCAAAAGCGTGCGGCTGGGGGCGGGCACGGTTGAATTTACGAGGGCGTATGGCCTGGGGGACGCGAATGTTGTAGAATTTACGAGGTGTAAAGTTTCGGGGGCGCGAACATGGCATACTTTGCGAGGATGTATGGCCTCGGGGACGCAGCTGCTGCACAACGTGCAAGGGTTTATGGTCTCGGGGACACGAATGTTGCGGAACTTGCGAGGGTGCATTGCCTCGGGGGCGCAGGCATTGCATTCTTTACGAAGGGTCATGGCCTCGGGGGGCGCAAGCACTGCGTAGTTTACGAGGGTGTATGGCCCCAGGGACGCGAATATTGTATGCTTTACAAAAAGTTTAGGGCCTCGGGGACACGAAGATTGTGCAATTCACAAGCTTATGGCCTCGGGGGCGCGACTATGGTTTTAATGACAAGGACTTATGGCCTCGGGGGACGCACATATCGTGTAATTTACGAGGGGTCGTGGCCCCTGGGGCGCGACGAGGGATCGTGGACTCGGAAGCATGATCCCCATGCATTTTTTCGCGACTCAGGACCCCCCAGACATTCTGAGAACCCTCCTGGGGGAGGGTAGTTAACCGTCGCAGTTTTCGGTTTCTCCCCTTCGCGCGGACAGTAACAATCTACAGCAGGAAGCAGAAAGCAGTCACAATTTCCAGCAGGAAGCCGCGAGGCTTAAATCCTCGCAGCCTGGTGGCCCCGCAAGGGGGCCGGCGGACTCCATGCCGGCGCCGCCGATGCATGGGCGATGTATCGGGCGGAGGCGGAGGAGGCGGAGGAGGAGGAGGAGGAGCAGGAGAAGGAGGAGGAGTAGGAGGAGGAGGAGGAGGGCGATCCTTCGACCCCCTCCGCGAAACCCCTCGGCTCCCCTCTGGCAGGCCCAGGTTGGGGAGCCGCGTGGAGCCCACTCCCCTGCCCCCCTGCCGCTCACTGGGCTGGGGAGCCACCTCGTTCTGCGCGAACGAGATGGGCACAGAAAGAATGGGTACCATGCTCAACAGCAGTTCCTGCACATTTTGAACAGGACTCGCTGTCCGCGCCGCCGCGGCCTGTGTACATTCGAGACAGGAGGCCGCCTGCTCAACAGCGGCCGCTGTTGGTTTCGGACAACATTTGCTGTTGGGCATCGTACCCATTTTTGTCGGTACCCATGTCGGGCGTCCAAATTCGTGATTGGTCCAAGTTCGCGGCGTGGCCCTGGCTGACCCGGGTTCGCGCGTGGCCCGGGTTGGCGCGTCGCCGATAGGGGGAGGGGGCTGTCGTGAGGGGGGGACGGGTCCTGGAAGCATGCGGCAGGCTTCGCCCTCCGTGGCCCTGCAGTCTGCACCTTCCTGGGGGCCGTCCCCACAGGAAGGCCCCAGGGTCCAGGACCTGCTTCCTTCGGGACCCGCTCCCTTCATGGCAAGCGGAGGGGCACAGGGGAGACAGGAGAGGGGGGAGGGACGGGGGAGGAGAGGGGAGCATGGCGAGGGCATGGAGGGACTGATTCGTGTATGGATGGGTCGGTGGGTGCATGCACATCTGATGCAGGTCACAAAACCGAAAAAGATGGCGACGATACGGCCATGCGGGAGGATGATACTCCAGATTTCGTAATAAAAGGGAGGGGGTCTGGACCCTCCAAGACAAGCCATTTCAGACCCCCCCCCGTGGGAGAACCCTCCAAAACATCGTCCCCAGACCCCCCCCAGGCCCTCCAAGATAGCCTGGAAGAGACCCCCCCCGAAATGAGACCCCCCTCCCTTTCTTACGAAATCTGGAGTAAGGGGGGAGGCTGCGGGAGGAAGAGAAGGCGAGCAAAGGGACGAGGTGGATGAGGGGGGGGGGTGCGGGGGGCGGAGGGGCGGAGCCCGCAGGAGCACGGAGGACGGGCGGAGCACAGAGGAGAGCAGGGAACAGAGAGAGAGAGCGGGTCGGGCGAAAGGGGGGGATTGGGAAAGGGGGGGGTACGACATTTGCTGCGTGCAGCTGGTCTCGGCCTCACCGAGGGGCCCATTCCTTGATACATGGGCGCCTCCGGCGCCGGGAGGCGCCGGGAAAATCAGCTACGTGAGCTGATTCTCAAACCCCCCTTTTGCTATCCCCCCCTTTCGCCCGACCCGAAGAGAGCGGACGGACGGAATGCCGGGTGGACGGTCGAGGGATCCGAGGCCCGAAAACCATCGCTTCACGAATTTTGGGCCCCAGGGGCCTACTGAGGCCCCAGGGGCCCCAGATTAGGGAAGCGATGTTTTTTTCCCACGTGTAAGGACCCCGAAAGTCATCGCTTCACTGAATCGAGCCCAAGACGAAGGTCCGGGGCCGAATTGCTGCTGTGATGCAGCGTCGGTCTCGTAGGGGAGGAGGAGGAGGAGGAGGAGGAGGGGGAGGAGGAGGAGGAGGAGGAGGAGGAGGAGGAGGAGGAGGAGGGAGGGAGGACGAGACGAGGACGAGGAGGAAGATGGGGGAGGAGGAGGAGGAGGAGGAGGAGGATGGGAAGGAGAAGGGAGGAGGAGGATGGGGAGGAGGAGGAGGATGGGGAAGGAGAAGGAGGAGGAGGGGGAGGGGAGAGGAGGAGGATGAAGGTGGGGGGAAGGAGGGAGGAGGATGGGGAGGAGGAGGAGGAGAGGATGGGGAGAGGAGGAGGGAGGAGGAGGGAGGAGGAGGGGAGAGAGGAGGAGGAGGAGGAGGATGAGGAGGGAGAGGAGGAGGAGGAGGAGGAGAGAGGCGACGTCCTGCTGGACCTCGGCGGCGGCGCCGCGGCGCTCCTGCCCGGGGGCGCTGCGCTCGGCCTCGTGGCCGGCGACGACGTCTCGGGGCTGAAGGCCGTCGGGGGCGGCGGCGGCGGCGGCGGCTCCTGCGGCCCACGCTGCCTCGCAGTGCCGCCCGCCTCCTCCTCCTCCTCCTCCTCCTCCTCCCCTCCTCCTCTCCTCCTCCTCCTCCGCCTCCCCCGCCTCCTCCGCCTCCTCCTCCTCCTCCTCCTCCTCCTTCTCCTCCTCCTCCTCCTCCTCCTGCCTCGCAGTGCCGCCCTCCTCCTCCTCTCGGCGGCGAGCGAGGGGGGGGGAGAGCGAGAAGGGGAGGGCCTTTCCCAGGAGGCTCGGAGGTCCCGTGGCCATGGGGAAAGTTTTTTGGGGCCTTCCCCGAGGACAGAACAGGAAGTGTTCTGGGCCTTCCCCGAGGACAGATCACAAGACTTTCTCAGGAGGCGCGAGGGCTTCTGAGGAGCCCCGCCGCCTTTGAGAATGCCTGCTCCTCCTCGCTTCCCCGCCTCGCTCGCCGCCGATCCTTGGCACTGACGTCCCTGGTGTCGTGTACGACGCAGCAGGCCCTCCCTCTTCCATCCCCTTTCCCTATTCGCAGTGAACTCTTCCCTGTCGCGCCCCGAGACGTTTCTGTACAGTCGGGGCCCTGAAGAAGGAACCCCTTTCGTTGGGGAGGGGCTCCGCGTTCCTTAAGTGTTTCGCAGCTTGCCTCAGGTTGTCCTTATGTTTTCGATTTGAAATCGGAGTTCAACTTATGGAAAGAAGGGGCCTCGTTCCTTATTTAGGGTTCCTTAGGTCAAGGCCCCGACTGTAGGGCGAGCCGGGCGTGTAGCCTGAGACTTCCGCATCGTGCATGACCCTGAAGCTTAAGATTGAGATGGCCTTACGGCTGGTGCCGCCGACCCTGAAGACGACGAGGAGGAGGAGGAGGAGGAGGAGGAAAAGCAGGAGGACCCTTCGGGGGCCTCCAGAGAGCTTCTTGGGGCCGAGGGCTTCAGGTGTCCGTTTCGGTCCTCCGTCTGGGCACCCTCTTGGAGCCGTCCTGGTGCTCTTCGGGAGGGGGGAAGACGAGGAGGAAGAGGAGAACCGAGGGAGGGGGGGACACTTCTGGAAAGCTGCAGAAGTTCAGCACGACATCTAACAGGTGGTCTAACATGTAGAAAGTGAGAGGGGCAAGGGGGAAGGGAAGATAATTCGGAGGAGGAGGGAGGAGGATCTGGATGGCGGAGGAGTCGCCATGGATTCGCCATCTACCAGGATGCCAGGGGGTGTCGCCATTGAGACATGGGGCAATGAGGCAACCACCTTACTGTGTATGCATCGTCGGGCTGCCGGCGACGACGACGCTGACGTGGGCCAGAGTCCTCAGGGGTGTTTCTTGGGGTGTCTTCGAAGAGCTCTCGGGGGCGTCTGGGGAACAGTTCAGGGAAGTATTGGGAGCCGCTTGGGGGTTTCGTGGGAGGCTCTTAGGGGCCTCTCGGGGACTCCTGGGGGCGCCTTTGGAATATCTTGGGCCTCTTGGGGTCCTCTTCGCTCCTTCTGGGAGCCTTTCGGGGCCGACGGCTCAAAATCGCCGTTCTGGTCCCTCATTTGGGCACGCTCTTGGAGCCGCCTGGGGGGTTTTCCTGGGCCGTCATGGAGGCGTCTTGGGCCGTCTTGGGGCTTTCTTGTGCCGTTCGGGGTCTCTCCTGGAGGCTTCTTCGACCGTTTTGGAGCGATATGAGGCCTCTTGGGCCGTCTTGGAGCGTCGGGAAGGGAAAGAAACGAGAACGCCAAAATGCTTCAAACACCTTTTTGGAAGTTGATGAGCTTTCCATTTCGGGCCCTTTCGGGGGCGCTCCTGTAGGCTTCATGGGGCGTCTTGCGGGACTCGTGGGCCGACTGGAGGCCGTGGAGGCGTCGTTGACAGAGCGTTCGCGCGGGGGAAGCGGCGGGCCGTTCAGGCCCTTTCTCCTCATCCGCGGCGCGGTGGCACCCCGAGCTCTCCGAGCCCTGGCGCGCGTGATTCATAGAGATTTTGTTTGGCTCCCCGCGGGGCCTATTCATCAGCCTCGTGGGGGGGAGGGGGTCGTCGTTTCTTAATCACACGCTGACATTGCACCCTGATGCCTGTTGTCCCCAAAGGGGCCGGCGGATTGTGTTCGACATTTCAGGTCCGCCCGCCCATCAGTGGGCCTCTTCGAAGCACTGCGTCCAGAAATTGGACAAAGAACCTTGCAGCTGATGCCTCCGGATCAGGAACGGCTTCTTTCGGGTACAGCGAGGACCCCAGAAAAGGGGACCCGGTTAGTAGTAGGGCCCTGTAGCCCCTAAATTGGCCAGAATCACTAAACCAGGTCTGCCGTAGAGAGAGAGAGAGAGAGTGAGCCGTGCACGTCCAGGGTGCATTGGCAGTAGTGGCACTCGGGCTCATACCGGTGCTCAGAAGCCGTAATTGGTGTTTTTTCGGGTGACGGCAGTTCGGTTAGTGGAACGGGGCGGGGGGGGCGTCCCCCAGTACGCATCATTAAACCATGTCCCACTAAACCTAGTTCTGCCAACGCCCGATTCTCCCCTGCCGCGGATAGCCACGCTGCAGAGTTGGCCATGAGCGCTCTCGCCTGGCAGCCCTTTGGCATCACAGTTCAATCCACAGGTTGGTAAGCACTCGGAGGCAAGCGTCGATCATCTGATCAGACGAATTGGAATATAGTTTTCTAAGGCACGTAATCTTGCACTGGCCAGGCCGCGGCGTGTCCTAAGTATCGAAGAAGCCTACGGCGAATCACCGCCGCCCGCTGCTTTTTGGAAGTGCCTAGGTGGCCGAACGTTGCGGCCAGAGCTCGGCAAAGCTATTGGACTACGTGTTTCCCCACGCGTTGTGGAAACCCTTTGGCGAACACGTGGGAGAAGACAGAGAGGAGGAGCAGAGGGAGGAAGGAGGATAAAAGAGGATTAGGATGAGGGCGATGATGAGGATGAGGATTGAGGATGAGGAGAAGGAGGAGGAGGAGGAGGAGGAGGAGAAGGAGGAGCAGGAGGAGGAGGAGGAGATGGATTATTGGGAGCTTCTTGGGGCATTCTTATGGCCTCTAGGAGGGGCAATTGCTGGCTGATGAAGCTGCAGCTCTTGAGTGCGCCCCTGCGGACCGAAGGTTGAAAACATGTCTCCCTCCTCGTTCCCTTCTCCCTCCTGCCCCTCTTCCCCCTCCTCCTACGCCTCCTTGTCCCTGCCTTCCTCCTCCTCCTCCTCCGTCATGCCCCTCGCTTCCTCCTCTGTTCCTTACGCGGACTGATCTGATGATTTTCGCAGCGTGTTAGCGGCTAACAGACGAAATCACGACCGACTTCGGCGAGGTGGCTTCAATGCAGCTGCTAGGCACAGAGAACGGGACACTGAAGAGGAGCCCGCAAGGGGGCTGGATTTAGCAGGCTCATCCTCCTCTTCTTTCGCGTCCCCAAGTTCGTCAGCAGTGAAAAACGATATTCGCCAGATGTGACCCGACACAATTTCGTGGTGCACGCAGCTACCACGCGATGCGTGCAGCTGTGCCCTCTGAAGACTTTGGAGCGTCAGTCCAGTCCAGTCTGGAGTGAGGCGGAGGACAGGAAGGCTCCCGCTGCCTCCCTCCCTCCATCGGTCGCAGAGGAAAAACTGCATAAACATAAGTTTTGGGCGCTCCGCGCGGATTTCTTGGATCCGCGCCAGGGAGGGGGGTCCCAGCGCAGATCCAATACATCCGCGCGGAACGTCAAAAGTTATGTTGTTGCAGTTTTCTATTCTTTACAGTCGGGGCGCTGAACAAGGAACCCTTTTCGTTGCGGAGGGGCTCGGTGTTCCATGACTGCCTCGCAGCTCGCCTTAGGTGCTCCTCAGATTTTCGGTGGGAGATCGAAGTTTGACTTGTTCCTTAGGTCAACGCCCCGACGGTACTCGCCCCCCCGGCCCGGTCGGCCCCGCGGCCCGACCCGGAGGTCACGGGCCGCACGGAGGCCGGGGTGGCCGTGCTGTCTTGCGAGGGCTGCGGCCCGGAAGGCGGCGCAGATGGCCTCGCGCAGGGCGCGCCACGGAGCCCGCGCGGGCGAGGCGGAAGCGGCGGCCGAGGGCGAGGCGCGCTGCGTCGGAGGGGGCTGGATGGAGGAGGAGGGGGAGGAGGAGGGGGAGGAGGAGGAGGAGGGGGAGGAGGAGGAGGAGGCTGGATGGAGGAGGAGGAGGAGGCTGGATGGAGGAGAAGGAGGAGGAAGAGGAGGAGGAGGGAGCTAGATGGAGGAGGAGAAGGAGGAGGACCAGTGTAAACCCAAGAGTCACCAACGATGTTGGAATAAACCCTCCCCCAAGCTCCCTCTTTCATAGTCCCCTACAAAAGTTCATTTCCACAGAAGGACCTGCCTCGCCGGAAGATAATCGTTGGAAGACCCCGAAGCATGCCAAATCATTATTCTCGGTATTCCAACGCCACGGATGAACCTGACTGTACTGTTGCGTCTTGACGGTCCTGAATCGTGCCAGAACGCCATTCCTGGGACCTCAACTCCGTGAATCATCGTAACTGTTGCGCCCTCAAAGTCGTGAATCCTTCCAAAACACCATTTCTGGCACGTCGATCATGGGATTCCACGAAACTTGTAAATTTAAAAACGAATGTGCGGTCGCTGAGGCGAGAGCCACATGTTGAAAAGGAACCGCCCTGAATCCGTGAAACTCTTGTAGATTTTCAAAACGAATGCGCGCGGATCTGAGGCGAGAGCCACATTTTGAACACCGCCCGCCCTCAATCCGCAAAGCTCTTGCAAGTTGTTTAACGAATGTGCTCTGCGCTAAGGCGAGAGCCACATTTTGAAAAGCACCCGCCCTCAATCCGCGAAACTCTTTCATTTTGTATCAAACGAGTGCACGCGGTGCTAAGGCGAGAGCCACATGTTGAACACCACCCGCCCTCAATCCGTGAAGCTCTTGCAAGTTGTTTAACGAATGTGCGCTGCGCTAAGGCGAGAGCCACATGTTGAAAAGCACCCGCCCTCAATCCGCGAAACGCTTGCAATTGTTTAAAACGAATGTGCGCGGCGCTAAGGCGAGAGTTATAGTTTGAAAACGACCCGTAAGTTTCAGGGTCGTAAATGATGAGGATGTTTCAGGCGAAACGCCCGGCCCGCTCTAAAAATTGGCCTCGGGGTGCGACAGGGAGAAGTTATTTATAAGGAGAAGGAATGGAGGATGAGGAGGAGGAGGAGGATGAGGAGGAGGGGGAGGAGGAGGGGCAGGAGGAGGAGGACGAGGACGCCAGGAGGAGGACGATGAAGAGGAGAAGGGCGAGCAGCCTCGCGCCGTATGAGGAGGAGGAGGAGGAGGAGGATCAGGTGGAGGAGGGGGACGAGACTGCATAGGGGGAGGGTCGGGACGAGCTCTGCCCGAACTCCCACCTCCCACCGCCCCCGGGAACAAGTCCTCGCCCGCCTCCTGAGGGCGACGGTTCGGAAGCCTTCGGGAGTTCTCGTTGGCCTTTGGAGGTCGTCTCGCCTCGGGATGCTGGAGGAGGAGAGAATGTAGGAGGAGGAGGAGGAGGAGGTTGAGGAGGATTCAGGAGAACGGACAATGGAGATCGGAGAACCGAGGAGGATGAGGGGGGCCAGTGTAAACACATAATGCATCAACGATGTTGCGACAAACCCTTCGTCCTAGCTCTTTAATCACAGGTCCATGCAACACTGTATCTTCATGGCGGGAAGTACCCCATTGGAATACAACCGTCTGAGAATCCTCACACGTGCCAAAACAGTATTCTCGGGACTCAAACGCCGCGAATCCGCGTGGTTGTCGCGTCCTGACAATCCTAAACAGTGCCCGGACACTCTTTTCTGGGACTCAACACACCGATTCAACATGACTCTTGCGTCCTGACAATCCAAAAATCCTGCCACAACGCTACGCGTGGGACTTCAGCCATGCGAGCCCTTGACTCTGCTGTGAACTTGTATGGCGAATGTGTGCGGCGCTAAAGCGCGAGCCGCATTTTGGAAAGAAACCGCTCTCCATTCTTGATTTTGGCTCCGGCCGCAAACTTTTGAGACGAGTGTGCGCCAAGGCGAAAGGCGAGAGGTGGTTCTTGCTTCCCGTCTAATGTGACCAGATTCAGTTCCAGTGTCGCCCCGGTCGGCTCGTCGCAGGGGTGGACCTACACGATGTTTTTGTTGCGATTTCGTGGGCCGTTGTCGTTTCGGTATCGTTTTGCGTCATAAAGGCGGATTGGAGACAAGACGAGGGACAACGAAAACACAACGAAAACGAAAAGCACCGTTCAGGTTCAGCCCTATTCCTCGGTGCGAAGACCTCCCAGGCGTTGCTTCCGAGCGTGCTATCTCCTCCTGGAGGCCTCCCACATGGGGGTCCGCGTTAGATGTGGGTCGGAGGTTCGCGCCGCATCGACGGTGCATCGGCGACGTCGGCGTGGAGAAGATGGCTCCGCGTCGAGCCTCATCGCCGACGCAGTCCTCTGCTCCCCCTTTGGGAGGCGCACCCGCCGGTCCTCGGAAGCACGCCCTGGCTCGGCGCCGCCCGTCGCTGCCGCCCGTCGCCGCCGTCACCGGGCCCCCGCACCAATGAGCCCAGCGAGCAGTCCTCGCTGCTCGCCGCCGCCGCCGCCGCCGCCGCTGCCGCCGCCGCCGCCGCCGCCGTCGTCGTCGTCGTCGTCGTCGTCGTCGTCGTCGTCGTCGTCGGCGGCGGCGGCGGCGGCGGCGTCGGCGGCGTCGTCGTCGTCGTCGTCGGCGCCGTCGGCGCCGTCGCTGCCGCCCGCCGCCGCCGTCGCCGTCGCCCCTCGGTGTCGGTGCGGACGGCCCGTGGGCGCCCGTCGCCGCCGTCCGCCGCCGCCGCCGCAGCGGGGCCCCCCGGCCGCGTCGGCGCGGCCGGCCGGAGGCCGCCCGGGGTCGCCGCACGGCATGGTTTTTTGCAAGCATTTGTGGTCTCCAAACCAGGTGGTGAGACACCCGGTGGTGACCCCGATTCCCCCAAAAAATAATTCTGGGTCACCACCGGGTTTGGGGACACGCGGTAGCCACGAGGTTTTGCGTTTCCTGGGCCAGCCAGCGCTCGAAAACCATGACCCAAATCGCCCAAAACTCACCAACGGGTGTTCTCACCACCACGTTTGGGGACCACCAATTTTTGCAAGCAGTGGCGGCGCCCGCAGGCTCTCCCCCCCCCGCCGTAGGGTGCCTGGTTAAACGTGGCGGACAGAGCGTGGAGCTCGACTGTGGTGGCGCGTCAGGGCAGGGGGAGGAGTTGCCCTCCCGGTCCTTTTGCGCTGCTTGCGCCCCCCAGCCCTCACGAGGGCCATTCGGCTCACCAGGCCGCCCCTTGTTGGCCCTGGCGCGTGCCGTGGCGGACCTTTTTGTCCGCCTGCAGGCTCTCCCCCCCCGCCGTAGGCTGCCCGGTTTAGCGTGGCGGACAGAGCGTGGAGCTCAACAAACAAATATAAGAACCTTTCGTGGTTTGAGCGAAGTGTTTTCATGGCATTTCTGATGGAGACCGCCTAGGTTTTAATTCACCAGGCTAATGTTATAAGAGCATGGCTTCTGTTATAAGATCTTGTCTGGGTTCTAAACACATTTCGCGGTAGGACTATAGGAATGCGGGACGGTCGATCCCTGCTCAAGTTTTGCTGTGCACAGCTTTGCATCGCAGTGCATTTCCTTGCTTCCCTTGCATTTTGCTTTGCCTTGCGCTGCGTTGCATTGCCGCGCGTTGCTGTGCATCGCTCTGCAGGTTAGCTTCTGGCTGCCCGTCGCCGCTGTCCGTCGCTGCCGAATTGCGCTGCATTGCCGCGCGTTGCTTTGCATAGTTTTGTATTGGATTGCGTGGGTTTGCGTTGCGTTGCCTTTCCTTGCTTCGCACTTCTCTGCAGGCCGTCTTGTGGCGTCTTCTTCGCCGCCGCCCGTCGCCGCTGCGTTGCATTTCGTTGTCTCTCCTTGCTACGCATCGCAATGCATTTTCTTGCGTTGATTCGAACAGCATTGCAGTGTTTCATTGCGTTGCGTCGTTTTGCAGTGCTTGGCATTGCTTGCAATTGCTTGAAACAGTTTTGCATGCTTTTGCGTTGCTGTGCATTTATCAATTATCTGCCATTGTTTTGCGTTTCATTGCATTCCCGTGCGCCACCGACAATTTACCACATAGATTGCAAGATACCACCGCGTGGGGTTTTTGTTGGTTAACGTGTTCAACATTTTTCGCCCTCCATCCTTGAAATGGTTGCACATGTCAAGCTTTAGGATCGTCCGTGTCGAGGAAATATCATGCGAAGCGTTCGGCCCACCCTACTGGCACGTTTAGGGGTGGGGCAGAGAGGAATTGCTGATAAGGAGAAGGGAATGGAGGAGGAGGGGGGAGGGAGGAGGAGGAGTACAGGACGGAGGAGGAGGAGGGGGCGGAGGAGGTATGCTGGAGGAGAAGAGGCTGGGGGGAGGAGGGTGGGGGAGTAGGACGCAGAGCGGAACACACAGAACGGAGCAAGAGGAAGGAGGGAGCAGGAGGATGGACGAGGTGCCAGCTCCTTGGCGCTCCCCTCGCGGAGGCGGTGGGCCCACGTACGCCCGAGAGCAGCTGCTCCGCCACCGGCGACTGTGTGCCGGGGGCGGGCCCCCCGCGCGGGCGCCTGGGGCCGGAGGCCGTTGGGCCCAGGAATCCCCTCCTTTTGGGAACCCCCAAACCGGGTGGTGAGATACCAGGTGGCGACCTGGAATCCCCAAAAAGGTCACCGCTGGGTTTGGGGACACGGGGTCACCACCGGGTCTTGCGACTCCCGGACCCACCAGTGTTCGGGACATCCTCGGAAAACCGCAGGAGTCCCCAAACCGGGTGGTGACACCGAATCGCCCGAGACTCACCGCCAGGTGTTGTCACCACCACGTTTGGGGACTACCAATCCTCCCCTCGCTTTTCGGGTGCTGCTAGAAGTTCGGAGGTTGATGGGCGTCCTTCCCCGACGCGTCGATGAGCGAATCTGCCGTCTTCGGTTCGCGAGAGGGCGTCGCGGCCGTCCTTTTTGCGGGTCCAGGTCCGTCGGTTCCGGTCCCACGCCGCTTTCACTAAAGGGAGGTTTGCTAAAGGGAGGTTTGTCCACCGCCGAAGTGCCTCTGGCCCAGGGTGCCCCCCCAGGATTTCCGAGGAGGCCCCCTTGTCGGGTGTTGCTAGAAGTGCCTCTGGCCCAGGGTTCAAGCAGTGGCGAAGCATCCTGCTTCGCCTGTAGTCCTACCAAAGAGTGTTCTGAGAACCTCTTGTGGTTTGCACGAAGTGTTCTCAGAACGATTCCGGCTCGGACTGTCTTGTTTTAACACATTGGCGAATGTTCTAAGAACATCGTTTTTGTTCTTAGAACATTTTTGGGTTCTAAGAACATTTCGTGGTAGGACTATAGGAATGCCGGGACGGTCGGTCCCTGCTCAAAGGTAGGACTATAGGAATGCCGGGACGGTCGGTCCCTGCTCAAAGGGTGCCCCCCGAGGATTTCTGAGGAGGCCCCCGTATGGCCTCCAGAGCACCCCTCACGAGGCCCACAGGGCCCCAGGGGCTCCAACATTGGGCGAGACGCTGGGGGCACCTTCGGCCCCAAGGGCACCCTCGGCAACCCCCGGCCCTCCCCTGTCGTCCGAGACACGGGCGATGCGAAGGCACATGGTGTCGGGGACCCGCCCACTCCCGAGGGCAGCACATGCGCGCGGGCGCACACGTTCTCTGGACGCGCTGGTGAGGTCCGACCAGCGGCGGCAGTTGTGGTCGGCCTTACAAAAAATAACGCACGAAATGCATCAACATGCACTTGCAAAGGCCCGCGCGGATTGCTCGGATCGGCGCTGGGCCCCCTGACTGGCGCCGCCCTTGGAGCTCGCCGCGCGCCAGGGAGGGGAGGGGGCCCCGGCGCCTCTTGAGGAACTGGCTCCACGCCTCCGGCCTGGGCCGCCCTGTCCTCGCCGTCCCCTGGAGGGGGAGGAGAGAACTCAGATCTCCGACGCTTCTCCTCCTCCTCCTCCTCCTCCTCCTCCTCCTCCTCCTCCTCCTCCTCCTCCCCTCCTACCCACCTCCTCCCCCTCCTCCTCCTCCTTCCTCCTCCTCCCTCCTCCTCCTCCTCGCTCCTCCTCCTCCTCCTCTCCTCCTCCTCCTCCTCCCCCTCCATCCTCTTCCTCCTCCTCCCCTCCTGCCTCCTTCCTCATCCGATGCCCCGCTTGTGTTGTCCCCGAGTTCGGGGGCCGCGCCCTCTGGGGACGCGTCCACGGCCGTCCTCGGACCACTCCATCCGGGTGGGACCCAGGGCGAGCACATTTTTTTATTTTTTTTTTTTTATTTTTTTTTTTTTTTTTTTTTTATTTTTTTTTTTTTTTTTTTAGTATTATTTTTTTTTTTTTTTTTTTTTTTTGGCCCCCGAGGAGGGGTCGGGACCTCTGGGGCCGCGCCGACCTCCTCGACCTCCTCGGCCTCCTCGACCTCCTCGGCCTCCTCCCCTCCTCGACCTCCTCGACCTCCTCGGCCTCCTCGACCTCCTCGACCTCCTCGGCCTCCTCCCCTGGGATCCGGGCGCTGTGCTTCTGTCGCACCCGGCGTTTACGTCCGGTGCCGCGCCCTGGCGCCATCACAGATCGTTCCCGAGCCTCAAACTTGTCGCAGAAAGATGGGGTCCAGGACGTCTGCCTTGATTGTTCGTACTGTTTTTTTGGTTTCCCCGCAAGCTCGGAGTATCAATGACGCGTCGCCGTTGCGAGCCCGTCGGCGTGTGTCACTTGCTCGTTTCTGTCCGAAGGCCTGGCGTCTTTTCTTCGGCAGTGGCACGCTGTTCGTTGATGCCGCTTTTGCTTCACATTCCTCGCCACCCTTCGCCCTAGCAGCCCTCAGATCCGACGATGCAAAACAGATACACCATCGCGGAAAATCACGGACCGATCTCTGATGGCCCCGGGGCCCAAAGCCCGGGGAACACGCCCGGCGTGAACAGCATTGCAGCGTTAGGATCTCAGGGTGGGTCCTCGTCCGTCCTCTTGTTCCTCGTCGTCATCGGCCTCCTTCCTCGCCGTCGTCGGCCGTGTGGACTCGGCCGGCGGCCGCGGTCGTCGGAGCGATCGCCGCCCCCCGCGCGGCCGCGATCGATGGGGGCGCGCTGCGGCTGGCGCCAGCGCTCCAGAGCGCCCGAGGCCTCCGAGGCCTCAAGAGCCGCGGGCCCAGGCCCCCAGGGCGCATGGCTCCAGGCCTTAGTGGGCCCCGGAAACGGCAGGGCCGTTTTTTCACCGCCTCCGAAAAAGTGTCCCTTGAGAGTGGGAACGGCAAGAACACGGCGACCGGAAACGGCAACGAAAACGGCTCCAGGACTGGAACCGGAGCGGGAACCCGTGAAAGAACGGCGACGGAACCGGTAAACAAGACGGCGTCGGAACCGGCAAAAGAACGGCAAAACGGACAGGTAAAAAAACGGCCCTGTCGTTTCCAGGGCCCACTAAGCTCCAGGCCCACAGTCGGCGACCACAAAGGGCATGGTTGCGCCGGGTGGTGTGTGGTTTGCGATCGGCAGTGTTGGGGCCCGGGGAGCATGACACCGTCCTCGTCGGGCCTCCGCGGGGCGCGGCGGAGAGCTCCGTCGAGGTCCTCGCCCGCCCCGCGGGGGGGCCGAGCTGCAGACCACACCCTTTGCAAACCATACCCTTCGGGGTCGCCGACAAAGCCACAGAGCCGAGACTCCTTTTCGACGGAGTCCGAGACCGAGTCCGAGTCCCAGTTTTGTTCTCGTCTCCAGAGGAGGAGGTCCACGCAGGCCTCTCCCAGACGGGGCCCGAGTAGATGGGGTCGGAGGATCGCGGCTCGATGTGCAGCCTGATGGTCTCCACATCGACGTTGCTGATGCATCGGGGATGCAGCGACGATGCGGCGCAATCCTTCAACCCCATCTACTCCGACCCCACCTGTGAGGCCTCTACAGTCGGGGCGCAGCTTTTCGTTTGGGAGGGGCTCAGTGCTCCTTGATGGTTGTACAGCTTACCTCAGGTTTTCCTGAGGTTTTCCATGGGAAGTCGAAGTTCACCTCATGGGAAACAAGGAACTCGTTACTTATTCAGGGTTCCTTAGGTCAACGCCCCGACTGTAGCTCTCGTCTCGGAGAATGGAGCGAGCATGTTCTCTGGGCGTCAAAGGGTGACATCTGAGATGCCGTTTCGATGGAGGTTCGAGGCTGGAATCTGCAAGAGGTGAATCACAGGGCGGATTAGTCTTCGAGGTGCAAAAGCCCATGATTATGGCTTTCACCCTGAGCCCTCCACCCCAGGGGTGTACCTAAACGGTGTTTGGGCGATTCCGTGGGCTGTTGTCGTTTCGATTTCGGTCTGCGTTGAACGCGGCTTCAAGACAATAAACGAGGGACAACGAAAACAAAACGAGCACGAAGAACACCGTTTAGGTTCAGCCCTGCTCCACCCCAGGAGAGTGCTCGTTGTGGAGCAGCGTCCGGTGGGGAGGGTCGAGGCCCACGAGCCAGGGGCTCGAGATGCCCCTCGGGGCGGGGCAGGGCTTGTGTGGTTCCCGCCGTGCAGGGCTCGAGATTCCGCCAGGGCTTGTGTGGTTCCCGCCGTGCACTCGAGGACCACCTCCCCGCAACAGTTCCGAGCGCCCAGAAAAAGTGTCGACACGGTGTCGAGCGAATATCGCCTCCCAGGGCACGACGCGTGGAAGCCCTCCAGTTTCGGTGCTTCCTTTGGTGCTCGAGATTCTCTCTGGCGGTCAAGGTTAAAGCAGGCTGGAACTTGTAGCACCAGGGGAGGACCCCCCCCATGTCTCCTCGACGGTGGTGGCGGCGGTGCGGTCTTCTCCCTTCTTGCTCCTCGCCCTCTTCGTCGTCGTCGCCCTCGTCGTCGCCCTCGTCGTCGTTCCTCGTCGTCCTCGTCGTCGTCCTCGTCGTCGTCCTCGTCGTCCTCGTCCTCGTCGTCGTCATCGTCGTCGTCGTCGTCTTCTTCGTCGTCGTCGTCGTCCGTCGTCGCCCTCACCGTCATCCTCGCAGCCCTCGCCGCTCCGGTGTGTCTGCTCGTCGCGCCGCCGCCTGCCTCCCAGGCGGCGCCGCGCCCCTCGCGGCCGCCGACCTACGCACGCCGGAGGAGGTGGAGGCCGAGCTGCTGCGGCGCGCGGCCGGGGGGGAGCTCCCGCCGCGCGGCTTTCGGGGGCGGCAAAGAGGGGGGCGACGACCACAGGCGGGGGGGGGGGACATCGTGGCGTGGGCCGGGACCTTTCCTCCGGCCTCATGGTGCCTCTTCTTGTTTCACTGCGCCCCTGGAGGAGGAGGAGGAGGAGGAGGAGGACGAGGAGGAGGAGGAGGAGGATGAAAGAGGAGAGAGAGAAGAGGATAGAGGGAAGAGGAGAGAGGAGAGAGGAGAGCAGGAGGGAGGAGGGAGAGGAGGAGGAGCAGGAGGAGGAAGAGGAGCAGAGGATGAGGAGGATGAGAGGAGAGAGTAGAGAGAATGAGAGGGGAGGATGAGGTGAGGAGGAGGGAGATGAGGGGAGGATGGGGGGTGAGGATGGGAGTGATGGTGAGGATGGGAGTGATGAGGCGCTGCACATGCCGCCGGCCATGATTTGCGACCCCCGCCTCTTGGACGCCCCCCCCCT